TGACTCTCAATCTGATCGCATGCATGATGTGTTGCTATCTTTGCCAAGACTTGAAGTTCTTCGTCGTACTTGTGATTGTGACGGACGCCGACCCGTTTCGACTTGCTGCGATATTTATCCTCGGCAATCTGCTGTAGAAAAAGCAAATGGTCGATGCACTCATCCATGGGCATGTGGCGATGAAGAATACCTTTTGCAGCCCCCCAACTTGCTTCCAATCGGTTGTTTGTGCTGTTGTCCAAGTGAGGGATGCATCCGCGCAGGAACGTACACCACAATGGCTTACAGCTTAACCAATTGGCTTCCAGATACTCCAAAAATTGTTGCTTACTCTTACAAAGAGTTGAAGGGCTCGCATATAGCGATCGAATTCTCGTTCATCACCAGTCCGCACCATCATCGTAATCAAGTTCTTGGCATGTATCTTCTCAAATGCCGTAAACGCGTAGACCTTTTTGCTGATTTCGCGTTTGAGATAGTCAATGACGTGGAAATGACAAAGAATCAATGTAGCCTCAGGTAGTTCTTCTGCTAGTACGCCAAGTTCAGTGAAATCCTTATCAATAATCACCACCTTGATATTGGCCACGCTGGATTGTTCTGTTTAAATGCCTTGAACGCACTCTTCATGTTAGGCTTTGCTCTCCGTCAATCAAGGCATGCTGAACAAACGCCCCGCTGCCAAATTTATCTGTCACCATGAAACTAAACAACCGATACCTACATCAAATTCATTGTTAGTAATTGGTGAATATGAAACCAATTCCTACCTAATTGGTGACATCACCTAACGTGTTGGTAATTATGTCACCAATTTATTAACTGGTGCTCACATCGTACCTGTTACTGTTTGTGCCGTGTGTGGCATCTATACAAAGTGCTTCTGGGAATTTGCGAGCCATCCTTTTCATATGTGCTGTCTGGAAGGTTATACAGCTCGTCAATTCGGAACCTGGATCGCGATAGATATTGACAGCCGTTCCTGGACCTTCACTGAAATCTTGCAGCAACTGTGAAACACGGACACTGTCCTCCGGCGAGGTGTATGTTTCGCGTCGCATCTGAGCAATCATGTTTTCGACGTCCTTTGGCTGGATCGGTTTTCCGGATGCTTATTTTAAATATCGCAGAATCTTTTTGCGGTTGGACCCACCTATAAGACATCATGTTAGCAAATGACCAGCTATATGTTGTACTACTGTTGATCTTACCTTGCCACATTGTTTTAACAACAATCTTGGTGTCAGGCGAGTCCACCTTGCGAGTCTCAGCGTACGTGAAATACTCTTCAGGACCAACCGTTATGGTTGGGACAGAC